TTGTAAACCTGTTATATAAGGCACGGGCAGTTATCAAAAAGTAGCTAATTACTACAAGGCAGTAGAAGAAATATAATAGATTTCCACAGGTAGCACACACCACCGGAAGCCCGTGGAGAAGGCAGCCACTGTGAGATGGATGTCAGGAAAGGACTGGGCATGGGCAAGCCCAGAAGGCTTACTGGGCCCTGCAGAGCAAAAGTGGGGGTGGAGGGTGCAGAGGAATGAAGAGGTCATGCCTGGTGGAGGGAGGAAGGCACGGCGTGTGTCTAGAGGACAGCTTTGCTGTTAGTGTATCTCCTCACTCTAGTGAGGGTAGTGCCGATGACCGGGGACACAATCCAAGGGAGGTGACGGTCTATCAGTAGTCAGCAGCCATCTGTGCTTTCCTGTTTGAAATCCATTGTGCTCTCAGGGAAGAATGGGAACCCTGCTTGCCCCTCCAGCCCCTTCCCCAGTCAGCACCTTCTATCAGTTGTACCTGCAAATTTCTCATGGATCTGTGCTTTCCTCACTCTCCCACATGGCTATTGGTATGAATCAGGGTTCTCCAGAAAAGTAGGGCCAGGATCTCTATATATGTGGAATGCAGATATGAAAGAGAAATAGATTTGAAAGAGAGATTGAGATTTATGATGAAAAATTGGCTCACTGCACTACAGAGTCTGGGAAGACCAATGATTTACAGACCTAGGAAAGTCAGTGCTGGTCTGTGTTTGAAGGCCTGAGTACCAGAAGGTGTAAATCCCAGCCGGAGGGCCGGAGAAGACGAGATGAAATTTCTCGATCAAGCAGGGAGGAAGGAAACAAAAAGGTACAAATTCCTCCTTCCTTTGCATTTTGCTCTGTGCCCTCAGCGGAGTAGATGATACACATCCACAGTGGGGAGCGCACTGTACTTTGCCAAGTCCACCAATTTTAATACTAATCTCATCCAGAAACACACAGGGACACACCCAGAAATAATGTTTAATCCGGGCACCGCATGGCACAGCAGAGCTGACCAAGAAAAGACTGTAGTGGGTCTGTAGAGAAGTGTTGGAAAAAAATATTCATTACAATTGTTAAAGATGATAAGGGGGGCTACTAAATGGGGTTTTATAGTGGGAGCAAAGACTGAGCACAATAAAGAAAAGTGGGGATTTATAGCCACGGAGTAGGGTGGGGGTCAGGGAATGGAAAATTACTTAGAGGTGGGGTACTTCTTTCTAAACTAGCCCAACAGGAGCTTTGTTGAAGGCAGGCAAGTGTGATAATATATCCAAGGAGGTCAGACCAAGGTGGGAGGTTTTGTATTCTGACTCTGCAGAATTCTTGCTAAAACTGGAAAAAAAATGGGCCATGGACAGAGCCCAACGTCACACCTAGTCCAAAGGAGGACTCAGAGGAGCCTGACTAGAGTTAGCTCAAGGAAAGAGTCTTTTGTCAGAAAAAAAAAAGACATAGTTTGGGGAACCCCAGGGGCAAACATCTACTCCATCTTTGGCCCAGCACTTCTGAACACCTTGATTGTTGGAGAAGGGGCACATATGAGAGTGAAACTATAGGGCACTAAGAACTACCATCTTAGGAACAACAGGAGACGACACTTGGAGGAACCAGTGACTTGTGGCAGTTGCTGCCCTGGGGAGGTCTCATTATCATCTTGAATGGCAGTCACAGTCAGACAGAGGAGTCCACGGTTCAACTGGAGCTTGAGGAGTGTGGTAAGGAAAAGCACTCAGACAGCAAGAATTTCATTTCTTCCTTAAAGAGTGACTTCCTTTTTTGGACAATGAAAGACCCTATAGTTCTTATAAAATATAGGGAGGGAAAAAGGACCCATGGTAGCTCACTGACCTCCTTTCAGTCTCACTTATGAGGTCAAAGCCAGTGGTTTTACCTTGAAGGTTTGATCAATGCACCCTTCCCTGCCAGACATACTTTGTACCAATTACAGTAAATTAGAGTAAGTATATAAAGTGAATTGAATTACTATAGCATGCAAAGGATCAGGTCACATTTATGTGTACAACTAACTTGTGCTTAGCACAATTTTATAATATTTGAAAAATCTTGAATGAATGTTGAAACCTTAAATGGAATTAAACATACAGAGGGACAAAGGGGTTTTGGGAAATGAAGCGCCCTTCTTGGGATTAGGAGGAATGATATTTGAAGAAAGGGATTAAAAGGGATTAGAGGCCACTGACCATTTGCCATGTCTCCTTTGACACAATTCTAAAGTAATGTCTTCTCTCATGGCTTTTCTAAATGGCCAGCGGGAACTTCCTCAAATGCCGTCTTGAGACAGATTCTGGAGACACAAATGGCACTATTGAAAATGGTCAGTCCATGTTGATTTCAAAAGTAGCATTTTTACACGCAGCTCGTTTTTCTTTTTTTGCCTCACTTTGGTGAATGGAGGTGGCACCAATGGCCCTCAATACCGTACGTCATTTCTGCCAGCAGTAAGCTGAGACAGGACTGTCAGAAAAGTGGCACACAGCAGCTGTGTGACAGGAAGCTAAACAGCAAACATTCACGTGCACCCAGAGAGCTGGGTCAGATTCTGTGTAGAAGGAATTTCCCATCCACCCACATCTTTTCTCTTCTACCTGCCTTTGGATTTGCCCTTGGAGAATATAGTAGAGGCATGCGCTAAAGACAAAGAAGTTTTAGACAGCTGGAGTGGCTGCATAGGGGCAAGAATGATAGAGGGAAGTGTGAAGGGAATCGGGGGAAGGGAGAGAGATGCTGGCCTAAGGTGAGTGAGGAAACTGTCCAAGGATAGAAAGCATATCCCAATGCATTTCAAAGTTTTCCTGCTCTCTGTTGAGCTAGGTGTGCATCCCCACTCACAACCTTATCTTAACAGTGACAATCTCTGAAGGTGTTTATTTAAAGCCCTTGCTCTGGCGGACTAATCCAGGAACTCCTTAGATTCTGAGCAACCCTGAATTGTGCGCAAGAAGTTGGGCCAATTAAACAATGAAATGAAGGGAGACTGAGGAAAGAGAGCCAGACCTCTGCTCAAATGTGAGCAAACTGATCAAATAAGGAAAGAATCTCAGGTCCTCTAGTACCCCACTGTCCTGAAGCCACCTTCCATGGCTTTGATCCAGAGAACACTCAGAAGAGGGTTTAGGTGAAGCTAAACTGGGTGTTAGATAACTCCGGGGAAGGGGATACTTTCGCAACCTCCTATGCTTTTGCCTTCTTCATCTTTGTGAACATTCCCACTCCACACAACCTCAGACTTTGAATGCAGCTATTCTCTGGCAGATTTGTTTTTACAAAAATGATACTGACCTTAGGAAAGAAAAAGATAAATAAAAGTTATTACTACTTCCTAGCTTCTCTGCAGAGCATGTGTGATTTGGCTTCTTCCAAAAGACAGCTCTGCCACGATGAGTTGGCCATCATTGGTGATGTTTTTATTCTTGAAAGTGAATTTACCAGAGATCCAAAAATGCAAATTAAAACAACTGTGAGATACCAAGAGCAAGTTGGTGGATTTTTTTTAATGGTGGCACTCAGTGCAGAGGATGGAGGTATCAGAGATGGTGGCTAAAAGCAAAAGCCTCCAAGTTAGATGAACAAGGGTTTGTCTTCCATGATCCCTGCTAACTAGGCACGTGGCTTTTGCTAAGTTGTTTATTCTAAGTCTGGTTTGTGCATCCTTTAAATGAAGAAAATAATCCATTATGGCATTGTTGTGCAGAATTCACAAGATATGTATGTAAGTGCCTATCCTATTGCCTGGCACAGTGGAGTGATATATACTGTGGGTGATTGCTTGATGGATATCAAGGGCCTTACCCTTTGACACATTAATTAACTTGTGAGGATCTAGCCTAAAGGGAAGAAAGCATCTAAACAACTACAACAAATGATTCATGCAATAATATGCTCATAGCACTGTGATTGATGGATGAATCATTAGAAATGTGCTACTGGTAGAAGTTTGTTTGGGGACTGTTATTCATTTTCAAGAATACGAGACTATCATAAACAAACATGGTTGGGACCTGCAGATGTTTTTCTGGGTAGAGGATTTTGGAATTGAACCATTCCCCTGCTCCAGGACTGAGAACCACACTAAGTATCTAACTCTGCCACCAGGCCACCGCGGTGGAAAGTTAAATTCAGGTAGCCATTCAGGTTAGGGCGTTCCTCTTGTGGGATCTTTACCCTTTTTTGCTATGCAAAGAATAATCTTCTTACTCTTCTTTTGGGTTCGATACACACTTAATATTCCCCGAGACAAGTCTTCTCATCCACTCCTCATCTATGTTATTGAAAATACTTTTACTAAGTTAAATATTTGGCCAATGTCACTGCACTGTTTCTGAGTTTGAAAGAAAACTATTCAGGAAGCAGCAGAGGACTTTCCAGCTGTGCCTCTACTCACCTTTCCAGACTTACCTCCTTTAGGCTACTTGGACCTTCCTGTCCCGCTAACTACTTAGAAATGGCAGGTTCCCTGGAATTCCTTAGGGATGCTGTTTTGCTAATTTCTTCAAGCCTTTGCACAAACAGTGCCCTTGACTGAAAAGGCTAGTCAAGGTACTCCACCCCTTCCCTAATTCCTTCCTTTGTTTTGCTTTCCCTCGCATAACCTTCGCTTGTCCAGTTATTTCTCCTGCCAGGCTCCCGCGGGAGCTGATGTCCACATTGTGAGCTTGGCACATAGTTGACTTGCCATAGGTATTTATATAATGAGTAAATGTAATTACTTGTACACTCCTTAGAAAGTGTGGATGCTTCCATCCCCCTTCTTTCTGGGACTCTCGGATGGCCCTCTTTGCAGATAGCATTGTGATCCTTAACACATGAATGGAAAGTAATCTTGTGAGTGTGTCTGAACAAAGCCGACATTTTTTTCTTCTTTAAGATCTTGCCGCTGAATGTGAAATGATCCTGAAATTAAGGTCAGCTCCCAGGTGGTCGTTTATATCAGCTGTCAGATTGCAGAATAAAAAATGGCTTTTATATGTTTGACTTTTATTGTTTTCCAGGGCAATGTCACTTTTTCCTGCTCCGAACCACAGATTGTGCCCATCACATTTATCAACTCCAGCGGCAGCTATTTGCTGCTGCCCGGCACCCCCCAAATTGATGGGCTCTCAGTGAGTTTCCAGTTTCGAACATGGAACAAGGATGGTCTGCTTCTGTCCACAGAGCTGTCTGAAGGCTCGGGGACCCTGCTGCTGAGCCTGGAGAGTGGAATCCTGAGACTCGTGATTCAGAAAATGACAGAACGTGTAGCTGAAATCCTCACAGGTACTGTCTGCTGACACTCTGGATCAGTTTCTTATTTATCCAAGTTGACAAAGGTTGAGGTCCTGACAAAAACATACAGAATCCAAATCTCAAGGATGTGGGTTAGCCCAGTATTCACAAATTTACTCCAACTCTGAAGAGGCAGCTTTTTTTTTTTTTTTTTTTTTTTTTTTTTTTAAGATGTAGTCTTGCCATCTTTAAAATGCATGGAGTGCAGTGGCTCAATCTCAGCTCACTGCAGCCTCCGCCTCCTGGATTCAAGTGATTCTCCTGCCTTAGCCTCCAGAGTGGAGCCTCCACACCACCACACCCAGCCAATTTTTTTTATTTTTAGTAGAGATGGGGTTTCACCATGTTGGCCAGGATGATCTCGATCTCTTGACCTCATGATCTGCTCACGTCGGGCTCCCACAGTGCTGGGATTACAGGCCTGAGCCACCGTGCCTGGCCAGCGTTTTTGTTTGTTTGTTTTGTTTTGTTTTGTTTTGTTTTTTCTCTTAGTAGGAAACAAAACAAAAAAGTGAATTTAGAATTAGCTATGTCAACTTTGGTTAAGTGCTTAAATTTCTTAGTCGCTTAGCAGTCTCATTGGAAAGATGAGAATAAGAATTCTTACCTGGGAGTATTTAGCACAATCTAGACCATTTCTAGGACTCTCTGCTAGGTTCTCTACAAACATGGCATGTATCATACAGAATCTTCACCACGCTCACTGAAGGAAGTTACTATTTTTCACTTAATAAGTGAGGAAATCAGAAGTCATGGCAATCACTTGCAAATCTCATGTTCCTATGTGATGGAGCTGGGATTTTATCCTGAATTTGTCTGACTTCCAAATCTATATTCTCCTCTTAAACCACATTAGCATGGAAGTTTGGATAGCCCCTAAATTATATTTCATGTAAAAATCAGTAAATCTAAAACATCATTTAAAATATATATGTGTATACATATATTTTTAATTTTATTTATTTTTTTAAATTTTTATTTATTTATTATACTTTAAGTTCTAGGGTACATGTGCACAATGTGCAGGTTTGTTACATACATATACATGTGCCATGTTGGTGTGCTGCACCCATCAACTCGTCAGCACCCATCAACTCATCATTTACATCAGGTATAACTCACAATGCCAGCCCTCTCCCTCCCCCCTCCCCATAATAGGCCCTGGTGTGTGATGTTCCCCTTCCAGAGTCCAAGTGATCTCATTGTTCAATTCCCACCTATGAATGAGAACATGCAGTGTTTGGTTTTCTGTTCTTGCGATAGTTTGCTGAGAATGATGGTTTCCAGCTGCATCCATGTCCCTACAAAGGACATGAACTCATCCTTTTTTATGGCTGCATGGTATTCCATGGTGTATATGTGCCACATTTTCTTAATCCAGTCTGTCACTGATGGACATTTGGGTTGATTCCAAGTCCTTGCTATTGTGAATAGTGCCGCAATAAACATACAGGTGCATGTGTCCTTATAGCAGCATGATTTATAATCCTTTGGGTATATACCCAGTAATGGGATGACTGGGTCATATGGTATTTCTAGTTCTAGATTCTTGAGGAATCGCCATACTGTTTTCCACAATGGTTGAACCAGTTTACAATCCCACCAACAGTGTAAAAGTGTTCCTATTTCTCCACATCCTCTCCAACACCTGTTGTTTCCTGACTTTTTAATGATTGCCATTCTAACTGGTGTGAGATGGTATCTCATTGTGGTTTTGATTTGCATTTCTCTGATGTCCAGTGATGATGAGCATTTTTTCATGTATCTATTGGCTGTATGCATATCTTCTTTTGAGAACTGTCTGTTCATATCCTTTGCCCACTTTTTGATGGGGTTGTTTGTTATTTTCTTGTAAGTATGTTTGAGTTCTTTGTAGGTTCTGGATATTAGCCCTTTGTCAGATGAGTAGATTGCAAAAATTTTCTCCCATTCTGTAGGTTGCCTGTTCACTCTGATGGTAGTTTCTTTTGCTGTGCAGAAGCTCTTTAGTTTAATTAGATCGCATTTGTCAATTTTGGCTTTTGTTGTCGTTGCTTTTGGTGTTTTAGACATGAAGTCTTTGCCCAGGCCTATGTCCTGAATGGTATTACCTAGGTTTTCTTCTAGGGTTTTTATGGTTTTAGGTCTAACATTTAAGTCTCTAATCCATCTTGAATTAATTTTCATATAAGGAGTAAGGAAAGGATCCAGTTTCAGCTTTATGCTTATGGCTAGCCAATTTTCCTAGCACCATTTATTAAATAGGGAATCCTTTCCCCATTTCTTGTTTTTGTCAGGTTTGTCAAAGATCAGATGGCTGTAGATGTGTGGTATTATTTCTGAGGGCTCTGTTCTGTTCCATTGGTCTGTATGTCTGTTTTGGTACCAGTACCATGCTGTTTTGGTTACTGTAGCCTTGTAGTATAGTTTGAAGTCAGGTAGCATGATACCTCCAGCTTTGTTCTTTTGACTTAGGATTGTCTTGGCAATGCGGGCTCTCTTTTGGTTCCATATGAACTTCAAAGCAGTTTTTTCCAATTCTGTGAAGAAAGTCATTGGTAGCTTGATGGGAATGGCATTGAATCTATAAATTACCTTGGGCAGTATGGCCATTTTCACGATATTGATTCTTCCTATCCATGAGCATGGTATGTTCTTCCATTTGTTTGTGTCCTCTTTTATTTCACTGCGCAGTGGTTTGTAGTTCTCCCTGAAGAGGTCCTTTACATCCCTTGTAAGTTGGATTCCTAGGTATTTTATTCTCTTTGAAGCAATTGTGAATGGAAGTTCATTCCTGATTTGGCTCTCTGTTTGTCTGTTACTGGTGTATAAGAATGCTTGTGATTTTTGCATGTTAATTTTGTATCCTGAGACTTTGCTGAAGTTGTTTATCAGCTTAAGGAGATTTTGGGCTGAGACAATGGGGTTTTCTAAATATACAATCATGTCATCTGCAAACAGGGACCATTTGACTTCTTCTTTTCCTAACTGAATACTCTTTATTTCTTTAAATATATTAAGTAAATGCAAGTACATATGGCACCAGGGAATGGGAACACTTTTAAATGGTCTTCAAATGGCCAAAGTTTGGGAAGCACTGTTTCATTGCCATGTACTACAGATCTTACTGTCTAGCAATATGCAGCAGGTCTAGGAACAAATTGTATTTTTCTATACCCTGGCTCCTCCAGCTGCTGTTTCTTCAACATGGAACAGTGGAAGTCTCTCCCTCATTCTCTGTTATGTTACCAATATCTGATGTTCTTCAAGCAGCGGTGTATTTACAAAGGTGACAAATACTCATTGAGGTCAAATCTCACATGCCAAGGATTGAGCAGGGATTGGACTGCAGCTGCTGATAGATGAAGTTCTTTCAGAAGGATGAAGTTCTTTCAGAAGTCTCCCTGAATAAACAGTCTGAATAAAAATCTCCCTCTGCTTTTCACCGCAGGTCAACATCCATCATGGATTATACTACAATTTAATTTAGATGCCTTTCTCTCAACTGGACTGCATGGATTTTTTATCCAAGTAGTTTAGCAAAAATTGAGTTAAATTGTAAAGGATATGACTTAATAGTTGTCGACCTAAAAGGAAGAAGCCAAGGCAATATTAATATAAATAGATAGTTTATTTGGGCCAAGCTTGAGTATTGCAACCTGGGAATATAGATTCAAGTTGCCCTGAATGTATGCTCTGATTAGCTACAGTTAGAAGCAGATTTTTAAAGACGAAAAAGAGGTAGTTTCTGTATTGTTTATCAGAAATGTACATTAAAATCATACCGGCTAAGGATTTCCTGTGCATTGTTCTTTGTATCGCAGATTCCAGGAGCAAGAAGATAATGGGTGAGGCAGGTAGTCAGGAAAAAAATAACTTTAAACAATTGCCTGGAGCATGGGTGCCTTGAGCTCAGGGGAAGGGTGTGTGACTGAAGTTTCATACTCATGTCTCTCTGGGCCCAATATACTTTGCATCATTCGCATATTTCAGACTGCTCTGAGCTGTTTTTCTTTTCTCATAGTTATGGTCATGTCAGACCGTGGGAGACATTCAAATGTCCATAGGCGAACAAAATGGCCCACTGAACCCCTGAGCATAGCAGAAAGGCCTGAGTCTGGAAGTCAGGCAGTCAAGTTTAAAAGTATTAATTCATTTTCTCCTTCCTTTCCTGTGGCCCTGGATAAACTTTGTCTCATATATAAACTGAAGTGTATTAGTTATCTATAGCTGCATATCAAGTGACAGCAATATTTAATGGTTGAAAACATTATTTATTGTGTCTTAGTTTCTGTGGATCAGAAATCCAGGGACAACTTGGCTGGGTGACTGGCTCAGAGTCTCCCATAAGGTCATAGTTGAATTGCCAATGGGGACTGCAGCCATGGCAAGGTTCAGTGGAGGAAGATCTGCTTCCAAACTCATGTGCTCAGGCAGGCTTCAGAAAATCCACTTCCACATGTAGGGAAGTTTATATTTTTCCCCTCAAGTTATTTAAAAATAACTTGAATCTATATAAGAAATGAATAATGGACAACTTAACAGAAAAAAAATGCATACACATTTTATTACATGCACACATGTGTACAGGAGTCACAAAGACATACAAAATATAAAAGCCCAAAGAAATGGCAGATGGTTGATGCCTTTATACCACCTTGAGATTACAGAAAGAACTGGGGTTTAGAGCATGGCCAAAATCATGTTATGGGTCAGACACGGTGGCTCACGCCTGTAATCCTACCACTTCAAGAGGCCAAGGAGTCCAGATCTCTTGAGCCCAGAAGTTCAAAACCAGCCTGAGTAACATGGCAAAACCCCATCTCTACAAAAAACTGAAAATTAGCCGGGCATGTGGGTGCCTGCCTGTAGTACCAGCTACTTGGCAGGCTGAGGTAGGAGGATCAGCTGAGCCCAGGGAGGCCAAGGCTGCAGTGAGGCGTGATCGTGCCACTGCACTCCAGCTTGGGTGACAAAATGAGATCCCATCTCAAAAACACAAAACAATGACA